TCCCGGCGCCGCCGGGCCGCGCAGCTCCCGGACTCGGCGCCAAGCATGGCTTTCCTGCTGGCGTTGGTGTTCGTGTCCTCCCTCTACCTGCAGGCGGCCGCCGAGTTCGACGGGAGGTGAGTTGGGGGACGCGCTCTCCCCCTCTCGGGAGAGCTGCCTACAGCTCTGGGCTTTGGGGTCCCCCCTCCCGGTGGGTGGCTTTCCAGGTCAACAGGCTGTGTCCCCAGCCAGAAGTTGGGCCATGGACGGTGGGAGGCTCCTTGAGCGGCTGCGTGCGCCCTGGGTAGGACACTCAAGTCCCAGGTCGTGACTCCCTGGTCCCCAAGCTCTGGATGAGGCTGGGGGCCGTGAACTCTGAGGTTTAGCCCCCTGAACGAAGGTGGTGCGCGGGACTTCCCTGGGTGGGGAGATGAGATGGCTCTTCACTGAGGAAATTGCCCACTTCGCTAACTCACTGCGACCAACTCTGGCGACCCTATATGCCATATAGGGTATCTAGCAGGATAGAACTGCGCCTGTGGGTTTGCGAGGCTGCAAATCTCCAACGAAGCTTTTGGTGGCTTCGAACTGCCGGCCTCGCGGTGAAAGCCTAAGGGATTTAACCCACTGCACCACTTACTGGGACGTAATTCTGGCTCCACGGTGTCAGAGTGATCACACAGGAGATGGGTGTCAGGAAGCGCGTGGGCTACGAACGGGGACCTGTTTGTCTCCCCACTTTCTTCTATTTTTGGAGGAGGAGGGTTTAACGTAAGGGGAGGGGGCGCTAAGAGGGTGTGAGGAGTGTGCCCGCCTCACACTGTCTCTCAGACCCGGACGGACCTGCCTGCTGCGTGTTCCTACAGGCTTCAACCACCCTGGGCCCGTCTCCGCTGTCACTCAACTGAGCCTCCGGCGGCCGCCGCCGCCGCCACACCCCCGCCCCCCTGGATGTGCGCTCTCTGGCGCTTGTGTGTGTGTGTGTGTGTGTGTGTAAATGACTGTACATGTGTGTGCTGGTAGGATGCCCGCACTACAGACTTGACTGTTACTGGACTGTCCCGAACGCAGATGACAGACGCTCTTGCAGAAACCGAGGCAGGCGCTGCCTGGAGGGCTTTTAACCTGGGTCATAAGCCCTCGCAGTCACTCTTTGACAGAGACTCCGCCCTCCATCCTACCAGGGACCTCTGTGCCTGGCCCCAAAGATCCCGCACCTGTTTAACCTGTAATCTCGGAACGAATCAATGCCACGATAGATTGACCTTATTGTACCTGGAAGAGGGGAACCACTGGAGCGCTGAGCTGCAAAAGCACAGCTGCCGGTTCACCACCTGGCTGGAGGAAATTGAAAGCTGGGGGTTATTTGGTATTTGGTGCTTAGGGGGCTAGGGGAAGGGAAAGAGAAGGGCGGTTGCCAAGGTAAGGAGAGTTTTCAAAACGTGGCTGGCAGCCAGAGGCAAGATCTTTTCAGTAAAAGAAATTTTATTTTAAATCAAAGCAGTTTTTAATTAAAAAATTAAAGCGACCCTTTGTCTAGGCACACAGCGATGTGTTATGCATGTCTCACACACATGTTCCCAACAGGAAATGAATGTGCACGTGAATATTTTGAACCCCTGAATAAGTTAATCCAAAACAGCCCACCACTGAAATGCCAGTCCCTCCTGCATGCTCCCCAAAATGTCATTTCCAAGTGACTTTAAACAAGGAACCCGTTTTCCAAGTCAAGTGTCAGAGTGGAACCTGGGGGGTGAATCAGGAGTCTCCTGAAACAGACCACGTTCTTTAGTCCCGATGTCCATTAGAGAAGAAAGTGGTATGAAGTCTTCGAGGCAGGAGGGTTGCTGAGCACAAAGACACTTGAGGTGTCGGGTACATTTTCAACTGCCCTTCCTTTCATTCAGATTTCTGTTTGGGGTACTTTTGTTTTTTCCTGGGGCCTTTTTCTGTCAAACTCGTATACTGAGAAGAGTCCAGCTTCATTCGTTTCTGCTCCTCTCCCCCTTTGCCCTTCATATGAAACAGAAATGAATTATTGTCTTCATTGACATGTCCTGTGTTATTTAACACGTGCCAGTTTCTGATCCATCATTCAAAAGTGACTGCTCCCTCCCCTAGTAACAGGTGCTTGGCTTTGAGGAATCTGTTTTATTTCAAGCTTCAGAAACCACCCTGGGGAGAGCAGCCTTGAGAATTCTGATGTCAGCGGATGCTATTTACAATTAAGAAAAATGCCCCACCCTCCTTTGTGTCTTGGATACGCATGTATGTTGAATGGTCTCATGTGTGTCTTTAGATGATAACAGAACGATTTCCTTGAGAGTGCTTGATCACTCAACTTTTTGTGGGCAGAGAGGAGTTAATAGAAAATTGTTGGTTGCCATTTAAAGGAAAACTCTAACAGCAAAGAGACGTTTATTTATTTTTCGAATTTCAAGCGTGTCTTTATTTACCGTGAATCTTTTTGTTTGGTAGGTGGCCCAGGCAAATAGTGTCATCCATTGGCCTGTGCCGTTATGGAGGAAGGATCGATTGCTGCTGGGGCTGGGCTCGCCAGTCTTGGGGACAGTGTCAGCGTGAGTATCCCTGGGGCCTTCAGCTACTTGTGAGGTGGGGCTTTCCACAGTCCTTCAACGCTTCTCTCCACACACCACGGGGCTTGTCACTTCGCAAGGCGTGCTGGTGCGGGTCTGGCTTGTGAGTTTTCAGGTAGAGTCCCTGACTCCTGAGTGCTTCCCTTCTACAATCCAGAAGTGCCAGCTCTGTTGTTCTCACAGAGCCCCCTCAGGAGCTCCTTTGAGCATTTGGGTCCAATGTTGTTTCTGCCCCCAGTTTCTTTATCAGGCTCACTCCTGCCTTTCTTCTAGGCTCTGAGATGAAGGTAAGATAATGAGTCTCGACAGTATTTACATTAAATAATTCCCTAACTGAATGAATAGCATTCGTAAACGCCTCACCATGGCTTTTGTGTAAATTGGCCCATTTGTTGGTCTGTTTTTGAAATGAGGTTGTAGCCACTGTGTTCTAGATGGACCACCCAGTATAATCAAATAAAACCTCTGAGACACCAGGATTCCTAAATCCTGTAAGTAATCAGCATCCTGTGATAGATGCCAAGTCAGAATTCTGGTTTTACATTTACCAGCAGCACAAGTGCCTGTTTTATTGGCATTGTTCAGAGCCACATCACAAGAGTGAGAGAGAAGACTGGAGGTAGAAGGGAGGAGTCTGGCTTAGAGATAGATGCCTTGGCAGGGTGCGGTGTCAGGTAAATTTAAGTTCAGGGAAGTTCAGAATTCCCTCAACTATTATAATCTGTGAGAAGTTAATCTTGTGATGGAGGGAGAGCGATGGTTGAGGATGGGGAAATGAAGGGGACTGATACTTGCTGACTTGATAGTTGCAGGCCACAGAGCTGACCTTTTGCCAGGTGCCCATTACATCTTGTGGGAGTGGAGTAGGCAAGTTACTGTGCTCACACCGGTTAGCCTACTAAGCACTGTGTTTACAGGATGATATCCAAAAAGAGAACCGATGCACATGAGTGCGGGGTTGGGGGTGGCGGCTCTTAGACGTCTGTCTGATATACCAGGTCAGGGAGAATTTACAGAGCTGATGGTCACAGGTGTGAGATGTTAAAGAGATATTGAATTTCAATGACCAGGAGACCGTACTTTTGTATACACACATGAATACACTAACCTCCCAAATAAAAATTAACTGCTTTGGTGGCAAGAATGACAATAGCTTTCTTCTTGGCTGTTTTAATTTGTAGGGCACTTCCAAAGTGAGTGTTGAGGTGCTGTGAGGCAGACACAGCCCCTGAGCTCCACCTAAGGACTAGGCTGTGTGGCAGCGTGCCAGGAATTGCAGCCAGTGCACCTACCCAGAAGACAGAGTGGCAGACTCTCAGGAGAGGTGTAGGAGTATATATGCACTCTGCCAGATGTGCTAAAGAATTTTAAGAGATAACACAGTGTATTCATAGAGGTTCACCAACTGTGGAATTCCCCAGGAAAAGCTTCTAAGAGCTGCTTCATTTCTATTTACTATGTAACTACATTTCCTTTACTATGAATTGCTTGGCAATTCTGAATTTAACTTAGTGAAAAGACCTTTCAAATACAGTGGCCTTACAACATTTAGCGCTTCAAGCTACTTCCTAGTATTTCTATTTCTGTCTTAGAAGATAAGGGGACCCTGTTTTATTATTTTTTATATCTTAGTTTTGTTCTAAAAGAATGTGTGCTCATCCAGGTTGACTAGAGAAACAAACTCATAGACGCTTATATATGTATAAGAAAGAGCTTTATATCAAAGAGTAATTTTATATTAAGAAAACATCCCAGGCCAGTCCACATCAAGTCCATAAGTCTGACACTAGCCCATATGTCCAAAACCAGTCTATAAATTTCTCTTCAGACTCATGCAACACATACAATGATGCCAAATGCAGGAAGACCACAGGCAGTGAGTAGAAAGTTTTGTGGATCCAGTGGTGGCAGAAGCATCTCCACACTGGTGTGGGTCTCCAAGTGGTTCCTTCAGCTCCAGGGCTCTGGCTCAATCAGCATAGCTCCTTGTAATTTGTCATTAGGAATGTCTTACAGCAAGTGTGTGTGTGTGTATCCACTTCAAGGAGGAAGACAGGAGTTCCCAGAACTCTCAGGAGAAGGCCACGCCCACACAGAGGCATGATTGGCTATGACCTGATTGACAGGGTAAACTCCACCCCTATAACCCATTTAGCAAGTTGAGATGAAATTTGTAGCTACCGCAAAATGCAACATGGTTACAGGGAGTATTTGATAGCATGGGCCTTTTCTTTACTATTTCTCAAGAATCTGAGGAAATGGCCACATAACATGAATTAATATTTGAGATAATAATATAAAGAAGTGTAAGACGATACTATAGGAGGCTGTTTATTTTTACTTAGGCTTGGCGAAAGCTTGAAGGAGTGAGAGGCAGCATGATGAAAGAGACTCTCGACTGGAACAAAAGTAACCAAACCGAACTGACTGCCACTGAGTCAATTCTGACTCATAGTGACCTAGATAGTGTTTCTGAGACGAAATCGTTATGAGAACAGACAGCCTCTTCTTTCACCCTCAGAGTGGTTAGTGGGTTTGAACTTTTCACCCTGTGATATCCAGCCCAACACCTAATCCACGGTGTTTCTAGGACTTCAATGTTTAAATTCCAGCTTCGCCTTTTAGTTGTGTGACCTTGGGCAAGTCACTTAGTCTCTCTGTGCTTTGTGTCCTCATATCTAAATTGGAAATTCAATGGTATTTACCTCATGCCAATATGAGGCTCAAAAAATTACTAGTTGTAAAGCACTTAAAATTCGTAGCATGGAATAAACTCAACATATCTGTGTCTGATGAAATTCAAGAAATAGAAATGCTTTAGCTAGAGCTATTGTTGCTTGACCTATATCGATGCCTGCCGGTGGCTTCTTGGCCATTAGACTGGCTGTGTGTCTTATTTTGACATTTCTATCGCCTAAATTCACATTAGTTTCAGGATTTTCTGTGTGGCATAGAAATACAACCCCTTTCTGCTAAAAAGGGGTGAATGGTTCTTTACCAATGATATTGAAGATGGAAGGTGGTAAATTTTATTTCAAAGTTTGACATTTCCTTCTCTGTGCTTGGCTTGCCTCCTTCCTCCCCTTGCCAGAATCTCTGATGCCCCAAGTGTATCTTGTCATTTCAGAGCTCTGCCTGCCTTTGTTTTGGTATAAACAGGTAAAGGAATGTAGGGGCCAGAGGTCAGCTCAGAACAGCACCAACAGGAGGCTAGTGAGGACAGATGGAAAATCTCTTGACCACAACTGACTTTTCTCAAGAAAGCCTCCATGAAATGAAAGTCTTGGTTTCTGCGAAAGTGCATCATTATCTTTAACACCCACATCTCATAAAGGATCACAACAAACATGCCAAAGCTTCTGGGACATTGACCGTGCCGGTTTTTGTTTCTTCTTTTTCTTCCTGGCCCTTAGATAAGCTCAGCGTTTTTCTCCCAAGAAACATTCTCCCCTCTGTATTGAAAGAGGTGTAGAATTTTCCCTGAATCAGCACAGCAAAGCACAGAACCAGATAGAGCCGCCTACACAGAACCATATGTATACCCGAGAAAGGGTGTGTGTGAGAGCATGCGTGCGTGTACACATAAATGGGGGAATAGGTATCCAGCGTATACTATTTATCAGACTCTACTGTTTTTTTTTTCACTCCTGACTCAACTCTAACTCGAGAGTTACTGTCTCAGAAACCCTCAGGGTAGGTCTACCCTGCCCCATAGGGTTGTTGTGAGTCAGAATCAACTCAATGGCTGTGAGTTTCAGAGGTCAGAGTAGACAGCCAGACTTTACGTCTTAGTGCAGCCCCTTTTTGGTGAATGGCTTGTTTCATTTGTGTGAGCATTTATACAACATTTTGACTCTGTGTCCTTGTGAGACAAATATACTTGTCTCTGTAACATTTTGCATTCCATTTTTACTTGTTCTTTTCCTTTTCTGGGCTTGTCTGGAGAGGTGGGCTAACCTCGCAGGGTGCTAGAGATGCTAACAGGAGCCCTGGTGCTGTAATGGGTCTGTGCAGGGTGCTAGAGATGCTAACAGGAGCCCTGGTGCTGTAATGGTTCTGTGTAGGGCTGTGAGCCACATGGTCGTCAGTTAGAAACCACCAGAAACTCCTCAGGAGAGACACTGGGTTTTCTACTCCCGTGATCCATTACAGTCTCTGAAACCCACAGGGGTCCTGATGAGTCAACATTGACTCAGTAGCAGTGACTGATGGCAGTGATTGAAGGCAGTGAGGTTGGAGATTTTGGAGAGCTGCCAAAGCAGCCCTGATGGCATGGTGGGTAATGCTTTAGACTGCCAACCAAAGGCCCTTATTTCGAACCCACCAGCTGCTTCTCCACAGGAGAAAGACGTGGCCGTGCGCTTCTGTAAAGATTGCCTGGGAAGCCTGGTGGGGCAGTTGTGTAAGGATGATAGGAGTTGGAATCCATTTGAAGGCAGCGGGTTTGGTTAAATTAGTTTCGACTGGCTTTACTGGCTCATTCTGTCTAGCCTAAATTCCCCAGCCAGCCAGGAGACTGCCTGTCCTCCCCTCTGGGACCAAGGAAGGAAGGGTCAGTGGAAGGGTCAGTGGCACTATCCATCCAAAGAGGCGTAGGAGTTCCCCTGCTTCCTGTCTGCACCCCCCTTCTACCCAGCATTGCTGCCAGCTGGGAAGGCATGCCCTGCTCCAGAAATAGGCAGGCATTGTTTTCAGATTCGGTTGTAGGTCTGGCTTTTTAAAAGTATGCTTTGATTCTTGTGTGTGTGTGTGTGTGTGTTCTTAACTCATAAATGGATTTCTGCCATATTGGAAATTCAATATCTGATTTCCAGAGTGTCTTGGGCTTGACCTTGATTGGCTCTTGCTGTGACTCTTTACCATAAGGTAAAATTGGCTGAATACGTTCCCTCACCATCGGTGAGGCATTCATAGGACACAACCCCTTCATCACTCAGTGATCAGTGCAAAATATTTCTGTTGCTTGACCTGTTATTCTATTC